TGAGATCCTGTATCTGGATGGGGTATGGGGTCATTAAGTATCTCATTTGTTACCACAACATCACTTTTATACTCAGTTAAAGATTATAAATAGAGTTCAATTATAGTCACTCAATTTCCTGTTATGAGGATATACATATTGCACATTAAAATCTTTAAGACCTTTTTTGTTTGTTTTAAGACAGAGACTCATTACGTAGACCAGGATGGTTTGGACCTTTCATTCCTGCCTCAGTTTTTAGAAGTGGGGTTACAAGCATGCACAGTCCTTGAACTATAAGAGGCATTGTTAATAAATCTCTTCCATGCTTAATATTTTCTGATACATATTGTATATCTGGCCAACAGTCTAGAAGAAAGCTTTCAGTTCCTAATGAATTATTAGCCTACAACGGAGGCTGTGAACTTGCTTTTATATTACTACAACTGAGAGAAGGAAGAATTTAAACTTGTTTTGTTATAATTGAGTTGAGAGAATCAAGTGTTAAAGGCAAGATAAAGGTGCCCAGAGGCATGCTTAGTCACAGAAATATAGCCGCCTCGACCTCCTGACCTCTGGAAGGCCAGCTCCAAGAGACCTAAGGATGTCAGCACTCAAACCTTACTCTCAAAATAATCCACTGACTAAGATGTGGTTGCCCATCATCTGTCATATGAGGATTTTTTTTGAGTCAGTTCATAATTCTATGCTACAATATTTCAAGGTACAGAGTCACCTCTATCAACAGCGTGTGCTCATGTGACACAGTCATATATATTCTAGGTAATCCTGTGGGTCATACTAAGTCAAGGTATTCTCAGTATGTGCTAAAGAAATAATGATCAAAATGAGTAATTAAAGGGGCCGATGAGTAGAGGAGCAGTCACCGTCACATAACAAATAGTAGCAACATATTGTAGGACAGAAAATTCAGTATTCGCTATTAACTCGTTCCGCATATTCCTTGACTTACCTTCTTTAGGCCTCCAGCCACAGTCTTAATTTGTTTTCTCCCTACACTTTCTGAACATTTTTTTTCCTCTTAAATAAGCTATTTGTCCAGAAATGCTAAGGCTAAAGTGCTCTGTCTGCACAAAAGGCACTTTTAGCAGGCCAGATATGCACAGCTAAGCTGTGCTTGCAAAACTGTTTTTCTTAAAGTGCAGTCAATTGACCATACACCAGCACTAATTCGTTGTTAACCAGTAAAGCATGTGCACACAGTGCCCCATATGACAGTCACTGCAGCCACGGCGGCTGGCTGCTTGCTTCTACATGCAGCTAAGAGACAAGTTCTAGTGCATCAGCCAGCTTTGGCTTAGGACAGCATACCGAGTACCTCTACTTAATGCCACAGGCCGTTTCCATTTCCCCAGGACGATGTCTTGTGCTTCCTCTATGAATCAAAGCTTCACCCACAGAAATCCTGGAAAAACTGCTGAGAACTGGTGTGCTCTAATTATAATGGTGATTTTCTTAATCACCATTATAATACCCAAATAGAATGACAATATACATTCACCTGTGATGTAAAAAGAATCCTTACAGTATTTCCCATGCTGATTTTTGTTCATGTTTTTCTCAGACTTTAGGCTACTTCTAGGTGCTTAAAATTCAACCTTGAAGTAACAGCAATAGAGGCAAGCAGTAGATTTCTAGGGGTTTATGTTATTATTTGGGGTGTTCAGCCTGTGTCTTGTTTTTCTACTAATTGCTGTCATGGGAAAAGATAATTATCCTGAAGGACACCACCTGCACTTTCTTATTTCTTAATGGTAGTAGTGATTGACAATAATCTCGCTTATGGGAGATCTGACAACAGATAGCATGCTATGTTCTGGAAACTCCATAGTTAGGTCCTGCAGTAAATTCACTTCCTATTTGGCATAAAGAATTTAAGAATGAGGAATTGGTGAATGAACAAATCAGTGGTATGGGTACCCGAGCTTATTCAAATGATACCAAATGTATTTCAGGTAAGAAAATTGTGCCAGCTAATGTTTTAGTGATTTACTTCAAATTTCCACATAAATTACATAAACTCACTATGCAAATTACATTTTTTAAAATATCCCTTCTTTTATTTGACCTTTAGAGTATAAATCTTTGATTATACCCCCAGAGAAGGAGAAATGGAGAATATGAAAGGGATGATATTATCTTCAGACTTAACACTCAAATTCATCATGTTAAATGATAACGTTTAAGATTTCAGAAATGAATAGGTCTATAGTCACAGGTACCCAGTAAGCTGAGACAGGAGAATTGCAGATTCAAAGTCAGCTTAGGAGACATAGCTCCACAGTTAAGGAAACTTATTGCTTTTACAGAGGACCCCAGCATCCACATGATGTAACACAACCTTCTGTAACACCAGTTCTGTGGGAGACGAGCTCCCACGTTTATTTACCCCAAGGACTCTTGAGAAATGAGGAAAAAAGAGACTTAGATAGAAATAGAGGGGAGAGAAAAAGATAGAAACGCAGGATAGCCTCAAGTGGGCCTGGATCCTTATCCACCAGCCCAGAACTTTATTCAAAAGGGCTTTTTATAACAATGCCAAGAGGAGGGGCAAAAGACCTCCCCCTTGTTAGGTACAGCCAAGTGTAGCCCCTTCCAAAAACCTGGCACTCAGGCCCGTGGTCCAGTCAACCTCTATGCAGCCCTGCTGGGTAAGGCCACCAGGAAACCTAGATGGGCTCCAACACAGTTCCAGGGAGTCCAGTGCCCTCTTCTGTCCTCCATGGCACCAGGCATGCTTGTGGTATACAGAAACACATGCAGGCAAAACACATAAAATAAAATAAAATAATTTAAAAATAAAACCAGCCAAGAAAAGTGAATTCCAGGCAAATCTAGGAAACTTATTAAGACCCAGTGTCAAAATAAAAAATAAAAATAAAAAGGTGGTCGGGGATATAAACCTGTGGTAGAACCAAGGCTCTAGGTTCAGTCACTAGTACTGAAAATAAGCCTTAAGTAAGTTTTCTTCTGTCATTCTGTTTCAAGAAAAAAGAAAAACACTTGAGTTCGCAAACTAATACATGGGTTATACCAATATTTTCTACAATTTTTTTCTTTTCTTTCTTTCATTCTTTCTTTCTTTTTTAATGATGATGTTAAATTCAATGCATTAAAAAATGCCCAAGTGAAGATGTGGGCACAGGGCATGTTGTTGGCTTTGAGAATTCAATTCCTATTCTTCACTTTCCTCAATGGAGACTTAGACAAATTACTTGTTGACTCCTTTTCTTCATCTGTAAGGGGCCTATAAAACTACCTGCCTTGTAAGAGCATGACGAGGATTTAATGATTTCATATATGTGCAGGACTTAGGTTCATTCCTGCACAGATTAGTTCTATATAATTTGCGATATTACTTTCATAATTTGGAGACACTAAAGCCAATAGACCAAATTCTCATCCTCCATTTTTACTTTCAGAGACAGTGAGGACTGGCAGATAATTTTAATTAGCTGTCCTTGGGGACCTTTTCAGTGTCCTAGTATGACAGACAGAAAGATAACATCTTTTACAAAGTGAAAAGTCCTTCAAATTATGAGACTCGTTCTTGAAATTATAATTTCTTGACAGAATATCATTTATTATATTCTAGTGCAAGACAATGCTCTTATGTTTTTAAGATAAAAGACTTCCTCTCTAGTTATTCAGTGATAATATTCCATCTTGGGAACAGAGGGTCTGTATTGTGATCTTTGCTACATGACTACTATTCTAATGATGCTGCAATGAAAATGGTATTGGAATAGTTGCCGTATTCCCGATTTTATTTTTCTATTCCCAATTAACATGAACAACCACATCAAGTGATAACACCTCTGAAGTAAGAGAAACTGAACATCTACGTAAAACACCAGGCACGGATTCTTGGCTTTTAGTCCATATTTGCTTACCACTCAATATCAGATACATGTCCTAATATTATTCTTTGCAACACTATGCAATTATTACTTCAAAATGATGTTAATGAAGTCCTTAATTGGAATATTTGGGTTGTTATGAAATACTTATGGATCCATCTAGCCACAAAAATCCATCTAGATTTTAAAATGGATGTATTAGAAAATGATATGAAAACTAAAAACAAGTATAAATTATTGGTGCTGGAAAATGATTGATTCTTTTTCAGACTTGCATTAATAACCTCTACAGCTTAGACAGGATTGGGAAGTTTTCCCGTTATTTGGTTTTTGAGTTCTGCAATGTCTGATGGACTGCATGTTAGGTTATATCTTTAATACCATGTAAATTCTTGCATGGTCTTTCAAGAACAGTGCCATGTTTGCCTTGTCTGTGGTACACAAAGAAGAGCACTGAAATGGCAGAATATTTTTAGAGCTCACATGAGGTCTGAAAAGTTGTAAAAGTTTAATGAATATGATAGCTCCTGACTAATGCAAAAAAAATTTGCAAAATTGGTTTTTTAAACTAAATTTATTTTTAATGCAGCCATCAAAACATAGAAACATTGTATATATTAGTGTGCCACCCTGTAACATTTCTATACATACATTGTGCAATTTTTAAATCAGTTGCCCATCTCCTCAAACATTTATCATTTCTTTAACCTTTATTTCAGTAGAGAAACAAATAAAAGCCTCCTTATAACATAAAGAAACAAGTTCACATCATCAGATTGCATCTACATCAGGAAAGGAGTGGAGCAGTTGTTTTATTTTACATGTGGTTCAGTTCTGTCGGGCTCCTCAGTATTCCAGAAATTATTTGATTTGAGGTTTCATGATATTGGCCTCACAATACTGAAACTGGTGCTATACTTCTGGTTAGAAATGAGCTGATGATAATCTCTAATTCAGCCTTAATTTTCACAGTAATTTAAAGGGTTATTCTATAAAAAAAAAGTTAAGTGGATTCCCACCCAAAAATATAATTGTACTTCCGTAGATGGTCTGAAGTTAGGTGAGGTTTCCTAAATCAGACACTGCCACTTCTGAGAGTAAGCCTATGGCACTGAGTGGTCACTGTCATTTCTCTTCCAGATCAGCATTTTCATGACTCATCTATCTAACTATGGGAATGACCGCCTAGGCTTGTACACCTTCGTGAACTTGGCCAACTTTGTGCACAGCTGGACCAATTTGAAACTGCAGACTCTGCCTCCAGTACAACTGGCCCACAAGTACTTTGAGCTCTTCCCCGAGCAGAAAGACCCTCTCTGGCAGGTAACAATTAAACCTTCTCTACATGGGGAAGAAAAGCAATGTGTTACTGTTTATTTTGTGTTAGGAACTTATTAAACAAATATTATATTAAATAAATCAAATAAATATGTTAGGGAATATTAAAATGTATATTTAATGCAAAGTCTTCCCCTTTCCAATTGTCATATTCTCTTCAATAATATTTTTGTATCTCTTACAATTTAAATGTTTAGATTTGTAGTTTTATTTTGCTTGTTTGTTCAATTCATTTGGAAGCTTGGCAATAAGGATGGTGTTTCATTGGCAGAGTTTTGACAAAGCCAATGCTTTCGACTTGCATGTGATATGAGTACTAGCTAGCTAGTTGTAAAATGGTCAGCACTGGACAGCTCGGGAGACTAAAAATTGAAACAGAAAAAAAGAGCCTCTGTAATCCAAGATCTTGTCACCATACCCTAATATGTATATGTACGCTACAGAGAACATCAAAAAGCAAAGAGCAACCTCTTGCCTGTGTTCATATGGATCTGGAGTCTGTTTGGTGCATTTTGCTTTTCTTTAAGTCTAACTAATTTCAGTAATGTTAGGCCTATCAATAAAAGAGAGACTTGTCAGTTTTAGGATGGCTTTTACTTCTAATTTGACTCTATGTGAGGCCACACAGCTTGAAGGCACCAAATGTAAACTATCTCTTCTTAGCAGTTATCTAGGAAGCACTACCTCCCACTTACTCGGTTCTTTATGCATCAGATTGCATCGACCCACACAATCAATGAGCTGGCTGTGGAGAGCAGATCAGATGTTCCCCTGCTAAGCACTCGGTAGAAAAGTAGCATCATCGTTAATGAGAAATTACTGCAAAACAGACCTTCAAAATCGTCCCCATTTCCTTTCTTCAGGATGATTTGCTTCTTCTCTTTATTCCATGATCGCACCATACAGTGCTATGTCTATACGGCCAGGGATTCTTTCCACCTGTGATCATTGAGGATCTGCCATGTATACAGCAAAGCTAGTTCTAGGGCATGCAACAAAGAATAAAATACTACAATTTCTCTCTATTCCAGCAGAGGACTTTTACTATATTTTAAAGTGAACTGTTGCCTCAAATCATGTCCTCTTTAGATGAATTAACAGCAGCCATCCACCACATGGGTTTATAATAGACTGCCTATTATGAGGAAACTCAATTATTTTTACACATAAATATACATGTGTGTGTACATATGTATATATATGATTTTTAATTGAAAATAGATTCTTCACTCATGCAATAAACCTCAATCACAGTTTCCCCTCTCTCTACCCCTCCAGCTACCCCCACCACCTCCCCTCTCCCTGAGATCTACTCCTCCTCTGTTTCCTCTTCAGAAAAGAATAAGTCTCCAAGAGACGATAACCAAACAGGACAAAACAAAACATAATAAGACAAGGCAAAAGGTTGGAGAAGGCAACCCAATAGGAAAAAAAGAGTCCCAAGAGCAGTCAAAAGAGTCAGAGATACACCAGTAGGAGTCCCACAAAAATGCTAAGTTAATAACTGTAACACACATACATCAATAAAAAATCCAAATTAATAAGTATCTTAGATAGGTTGTTGACATATTAATGATCAGTCAGCTTAGTGGTTCCAAGCTCTACTCTGTCCTTAAACATTGAGATATATTTTTTCAGATTATTTGGACTTTCGGCGTAATGACAAAAATGTTCTGATAATGTTTGGATACTGTTAATATTGCTATTTACCATTTAAAAATTATTGATTTACTTACTTTGGTACATCAGCATATGTGTGGATGCAGATGTGGGTACGCCCATCCCGCTGTGTAAGTGTGGAGGACAATTTTGTAGAGCAAAGAGTACTAATATGGGATGTTGAGAGCATTTGAGTTATTGCAGAAAACTGGATAAAATGTATCAATCAAAAGTAATGCCACAAATGAAGTTGGTGAAGTGATGATAAAGTATGTTAGACTCTGAGTGACCTTGCCCCTGGTTGCATCTGCTTTCACATTCACATCGATGATAGCAATCCAAAGGGAAACGGAAATTACCCTCATTTTCTACATGAAAGCAAAACCAGAATTACTTAGTAAACATTTTACACCCTTTTCCTCATGACCTAGAATTAGGATGGGCAAATAGTATATCTTTGTTTCTCTTACATATTGTGAAAATGAAAAATTCAGAAACCCTATTATATTTATGAGTATGACTTCATATTTAGTACTCTTCATAGAACTCAACTGCTATTTTCCTTTACATTTCATTTCACACTTTTTTTATTACTACAAATAGAAAGAAAAAGTGCAAAATGGTAATCGTCACATCTGTTTAATTCTTTTGGTTCCTTATGTAAATTTTCATTAGCACCAACCACTCTATATGTGGGACTGCTTTGTCACTTAATTAAAAAGTGCAATGTGAATATCTGCCAATAGGCAGCATGATCAGCAGCTACAAAATACCTCATGGGAAATTGGTTCTTACAAAGCTGCTTGATATAGACATGTATATCCATGCACACACAAAAAATGCAATTCCCAAATTGGCTCCTCATCAGCTTTCTCTCTACTATACAAAAGTTTTGAAATTATACTCAATAGGGGGTAGGCTAGGGGGAAGGGGATGGGGGAGAACAAAGGAATCCGTGGCTGATATGTAGAACTGAATTGTATTGTAAAATAAATTTAATAATAAAATAAATAAAATTAAATTAAATTAAAAAAGTATTACCGCAGGCTAGAAACCCCCTGAGAATTTTTATACAACCCATAGATTATGAGGAATGTGGTGACTGACCATAAAGGCAACAATCAGAACTATGCTCAAAAAAAAATTATACTCAAGGGATAAAATAATACCACTTATTGTTTTGATAGAATAATCACTGTAGAGTATGGAAAAATAATTTTCTTCTTACGCACGCATACGCGCTCGCACAAACACACACACTAACAAACAACTCCTATTATAGGAAACAAAGCCACAAACGTGGAGACAGTGGGAAGGTCAAATTCGCACATGCTCTAATCGATGCTCTTAAGCTCTCAAGCTGTCAGGTTAGCTCAGCCTCAATCTTCCTGCAGCCACTATGGAGTCTCACTATCAACAAACATCCAAGCATGAAGTGGATTCTTGCTTGCTATGTGTCCAGGGAAATGCTCAAAGAACTGTCTTCTAGGCCTCTGCCAGTGTCTCCAGAGTTAGAGAGAGAGATGTGGGGAAGTAAATCCCAGTTTTTAACGGCAGGCAACTAGCACTTTGGTTGATTCTAGATATCAAAGCATTGGTTTCTAGTTAGAAATGATGAGATTTGAATATCAGTGTTATAAACAAACCACAAAACAGGTAACACCAGCACTGTACCTGCTACTAATATTTGTCTGGTGAAGCAGCAAATGAATGCTGACACGAAGTTACAGATGGGAAGAACAGGACAAGTTAGGGACGTTTAGCCCAATCTCGGGAACTGAAATAAGTCCCTTGACTTATTAGAGATGAGCTGGGACTAAATCCAGGCTTTCTTCTTCCTGCTCAGATGCAGTTTGGTGATGTTACATTAGAAAGACAAGTCTCCTTCTATCACGGGCTCTCTCTCGAAGCTCGGAAGAATCTGATGATGGGTTCAGTGGGAATTTGCTAAACCTAAACTTCAGAAATAGTTACATAACAAAGGAAAGTTTTACCACCATGAGATTTGCAAACTGCAATAGCTCCTTATTGTGTTAAAAAAAAGTAACATTGCAAATTTGTTTTCATAGTTTTACTCTCTGAACCAGTTTATAGCTTATTTGTAATTTGCTTACAAAATAATTGCAAACATATGCCTATTTTGCACAACCTGCAAACCATATATATATATTTTCCAAGCTGGAACTTAATGGTACAAGAGTCACTTATTTAAATCACACAACCGATACACAAAGGTAGACGTGTGTAGAGAACAACAGAAGCAGCTGAGCTGCTCCTTGTACAAAGAGACAGATGGAACAGGAGGAAAACCTAGGGACAGGCAGATGTCCTCAGGAAAACATGGAAATCTCCTGTGAATTTGGACTTGATCTGTAACAAAGAGTGGCACATTCTGAGGGCAGGTAGAAAATGACAAAAGAAAACCTTGGAGCCCGTTGCAGTGTTCCATGTCTATGATCTCCATACTGTGGAGAGCTGAGGTAGAAATACCACGAATTCAAGACCAGTGAGTTACATGGTGAGTGTGAACCTCTGTTAGTGACTTTGCTCATCACATTGTCAAAATGTCCAATAACATCACTTGGTAGCCAATAAATAAATAAATTGCACTGTTCATCGCTGTGAGGATTCAGCCTATCAAGGCAGTGAGGGCATAATGGAGCCCAGCACTGCATATCGTGGTGGGCCAGGAGACAGAGGAATGGGATCCAGCTTCCTTCTTCTTTGACCTTATATTCCTCTTGGTCCACGAGCCCATGTCATGATAACATTCAAGGCTGGTCTTCCCTCTTCATTCAAACAGTTCAGCAAATGTCTTTATAGGCATAACTTAGAGGAGCATCTCAACCTTCTAGATGCTTCGAAACCCACTAGAGTTGCTGTTTCAGAAAAACAGAAAAAGGGAGGAAAGAAGTAAAGAAAGATGGTTTATAGAGATAATTCCAGAAACCCTTTTTACAGGACAACGAAGAATAGAAAGACATGAAGAAGTTAGGCAAATGATCTATCTCTGAGATAGGGAAGCTCTGAATGGCTTTCTGTCAGTGAACAGCAATGCCTTCAAAGGCAAGAGGCTGAACTTGTTTGTAGGTGAGACTAAAGAAAGGGTTGTCAGGGAATAATTACCCCATTTCAAGAGGAAAATAATATTTTTAAGTTTTGGTCTGTTTATCTTTCAGCCTTTTTAGTGAACTGGTCAATGTAGTTATTATAGAGACTTCACTTTTAATTAACTAAAGGTATCTTAATAAATAAGATATCTTAATTATTTTTCCAATGAAAAGTTGTCTGTATTAATACTCTACTTCTCTTCCCCTTACTCAACA